TTGGCCACAAAGCAGAATGGTTTGTAGGGTCACTTTTTTGAATGTCATTCTAAATACTTTAATTCTATAACCTGAACAGCCATTTCGAAGAAGACAATTTGTAACTCATCAACTGGCAATTTCTTACCTTTTGTTTGTCTGTAATTTAGTATTATTTCTACCCTTTTTTTTTAATCTCCGTGTATTTTTTTTCGTTTCCTTTTCTTTAAATAAAAAAAAAAAGAATATATTTTGAATATTTTCCATGTGTAAACATGCTCACCAGTGGCAGGGGTCAGCAGATTTTCCTGCAAAGGGCCAGACAGTAACTATGGTAGACTCCAGTAGACTCCATTAGTCCACTCAGATTGGTCAGGGCTGTTCACATCGGCTGTTGCAGTACAGAGCAGCATTACAGATTGATGTGAATCTCCCCCCAGATCCATATCCTGCTGTCTTAACTTCCCATACTTCAGAAGGTGAACCTTTCATGGGAATATGGTTGTTGCAGACATAGTTAAGCTTCTCCGTGGGTTGGCTGGGTCCCTAACCTAATAGGACCATTGTCTTTGGAAAGAGGGGTAATTGACACGGGAACAGATCCACGGAGAAAATGGCCTTCTATGAACTGAAGGAGACTAGGACAGACCCCTCCCTCATGGCCCTCAGCATACCTTGAGCTTGGATTTCCAGCCCCCAGAGCTGAGATGAACACAGTGACTTCTGTTGTGTACCCTGTTGTGGTGGACTATTACAGATCCCCTAGCAAACTAATTTGTCAGCCACCCACACTGCATTCACAAATGGGCCATCTGGGTTTGGTGGTGGATGCCTGTAATCGCAAGAGGCTCGCTTTGAGATTGAATCCAGCCTGGGATGCATAGTGAGCGCAAGGCCAACCTGAACTATGTAGTGTCTGAAAAAAAACTAAATAAAAACAAAAATCAAATGAACTCATTAAGGTCTGAGTGAGAGATTATTCTCAAGCCAAGTGCTGGCTGATGGGCCATGGTTTACCAGCCTCTGACCCTGTGGAATCGTTTTTAGGGACTCCTCAGTGATCCTTGGAATCGATGAACTGCAAGTTATTTAAACAGTTTTCTACAAAAATTAGAGAAGATTTTATTCAAAACTGCTATGATTGATAGTATCAAGTCTGAGCGTATAGGCAACTATACTGAAGATGACAAACTCTATGATATACATTCTGGTTTGATAACTGCCGGTTTTTGAAGTTCTATACTATACACAAAGTTGTATTTTCATTAATACTGTTTTGTACTGATCTATTCAATTATACTGTGTCTGATGATATATCCAATTCTATTGGAGATAACATGAGACAACACAGGAACCATGGTAGAACTCTTTGTACAAAGGTCTTCTGTGTTTTTTTCATTTCATGTGTTTATAGGAATATGGTTTGTTTTGTCTTGCTTTGTTTTGTTTCTCCCTCTACTATAGAAAGGATAGAAATACATGTTAAGACTCATGCATGTGTAGAACCTATAAACAGTTTATGAGAACTGATCTTATGACACATGATGAAATAAACAGATACTTTGAAGAAAAAGAGACACTAAAATACCCAGTGCTGGTACTGGAGTGTCATAATGTGAAACCCAGCAATAGTATTATTCTTTGTTCACAGTGATATTAACCTGCTTGGGTTTATTCAATCTCAACATAATTGAAGATATGGGTAACTGCATTTATGTTCAAGTGTATAGGATTGATAACCATATTACTAAGTTTTTGTTGGACAGTTGAACAGAACTGGTTGCAGTCTCACTGTTTGAATCCCCACTTTATATGCTCCACTTTAGTATCTTGAATAACTACTTGTAAGAAGACAATCTGTAATCATCAACTAGTGATTTCTGTTTTTTTTCTTTGAAATCTGCCATGATTCTGATGGGCCTTCCTTTATAGGTGATCTGTTTCTTGCCTCTAACAGCTTTTAATATTCTGTTCTTATATTGCATTTCTAGGATCTTGATTATTATATGCCTGGGTGTGGCTCTGTTTTGGTTGTAGGTGGCTGCAGTTCTATATGCCTCATATATTTCTTTTCCTATGTTTGGAAAGTTTTCCTTAATTATTTCTGTGGACAACCTTTGTAGTTCCTTTGTTTGTACCCTTGCTTCTTCATTTACATTCTTTATTCTCAAGTTATAGATCCTCCTGTTGTCTTCTAGCCTTTGTATTGTTACTGCTTGTTTCCTTGTTATTTTTAAAAAGTTTTCCCTTTCATAATCCCACATTGCAAAATTGTCTTCGTTTGGACAACCTATCCTTAGTTTCTTTCAAGCTGATTTGCCATCTTTCCATAGTGTTTTTAATTTCCTGATAATCTCTTTGAATCTGCTTCATGTATTCTATATTTTTTATATTCTTCATCAAATGGTTCTCTCCTTTGAGTTCCTCCCTTTTTCCATCTGTGTCTGCTTGAGGGGTGCTTAGTATTTCTTTTATTAATTTTGTTATATCTTGCTAAATATTTCACTTTTGAACTCAACTATGAGGTCCCGAATATATCTCTTTATGTCCACTGGCCCTGTGTCTGATATTGCATGTTTGCTGTTCTCATTCTCTTTTTTATTTACCTGTTCTGGATCAGTGTTCTCAGGGTTAGGACCTGGGGACTTTTTGTTGCTGCTTCCTCTTCCCATCTTTTTTGTTTCTTCTAGGAGGCCCTAGTTTCTTTCTTTGTCGGTTACAATTCTTCTGAAGCACACTGGCTAGATGACCCTTCCCACTGTCATGTGCTAGTGAGTTGCAGACAGGGACAGCGTATGCTGGCCCCTCCCCTTCGGATCGGTCAAGCTGCTGTGGCCTATACTGTATTACTATGTGCCGCCTCTCCTCTGGGTCAGTCAAGCTGCTGTAGCCTGCACTGTATTACTTTGCACTGCCTCTCCTCCGGGTCAGTCAAACTTCTGAGGCTTCACTGGGTTAGTGTGGTTAGTGTATGTCACCACTGTAGGAACTTGATTTAGGATCACCTATTGGTCTCAGCCAGGTCATGTGACCCAGGCTGAGCTCATTCCACCAATCCCATTCAGGAAGGGAACAACTGACTGAAGTCACTGCTGCCCCTTGTACTTGCCAGTCCTACCCAGTCCCAGAATGTCATCTTCCAGAGCCCTCCTTCCTATGGAATGGCTCCACTCCCATCACTCACCACAGGTCAATGGAGGCACCCTGCCAACTCAGCTCTCTGTTCAGCTTGCCAACCCCCATACTCAATGTAACTGTGTCTCCAGTGAGTTGAGGTGGCAGGACCTCGGATGGTCGGCAAGTTGCCTGCTGTAGCAGGAACACTGAACCTTTAGTTGTTCCAATAATAGCACTGGAACTGTATGTTTGGTTGGTTCTTCTCACCTTAATTTCTTCTTGGGATGAGAGAATTCATCTCCCTCTGTTTGGGGCTCCCCACTCTGTATTATGTTGAATTTTAAGCTGACTATCTCAGGGAGCCTCTGTAGCCAGTTGTTATCTCCAGAATAAATTTCTAAACTCAAATTCCTAGAACTATTGGTAGACATTTTAAAGACATTGGGTAGATGTTGCCAAAATGCTTTAGAACAGGTTATGATTCATAACTACCAGGAAGACATTAAAATTCAACTTGATAAACAAAGAAAGTAATGCTGTTAGTGCTTTAATTTGCATTTCTTTATGTTATGGTTTGTTTCTAGATGTCCCTCAAAATCCTCATGTGCTCATAGGTGGAGCTTTTTGGGGGTGGCTGGATCTAAAGTCCGTGTGGATTAAAGGTGTGTGGTATTGGATTAGTCCCTAGTTGGATTAGCATAGTTCTGAGTGTGGCTGAATGGATTTATTAAAGAGGGAACCCTCACCCTGGGTATGGTGGCAACAACCAGTAGGCCTGTAGCCTGGATGGAATATAAAAGGCCAGAAGGAAGGCAGGCTCGCAGTTTTCTGCCTGCTCTTCCATGGACTGTTTCTCCTCTGCCATCTCTCTATCGCATCATCCTGCCTTGGATCCAGCTGGAATAATATCTGTACAAATAGTGAGCTAAAATAAACTTTTCCTCCTTTAACTTGTAGTTGTTGAGTATTTTGTCCCAGAAATGGGAGAGTAATTAGACAGATTTTGGTACCGTGAAGTGGGGTCATTGCTGTGACTATCTGGCCACAAGGTTTAGTCAAAGTACAGGCAGAGCCCATGACAATGTCTCACGCAAGTCTGTGTCAAGGATCTGTACTGGGAAGGCCCAATGGTCAATGGTAGAAACTAGAATGGCTGAACCAGAAGGATAAAGGATCTGTGCCCACAGCAGAGGGATCTACACTGGAGCCAGGAAGTGATGCTCAAGGTAAAGAGCAGAGCTCCCCCAAACAGAACCATAGCCGTCCTCAGCAACAGTGAGGAGATGAACTTCTTCAATGATAATGAGAACAGCTGCATGCATATCAGGAAAACCAGCACGACAAGCTTCTCCAGGAGAACCATCATCTTGAAAGGGTTTTATGAGTACAAAGCTGGCTCTGGCTCTTCCACCTGTCCTGGCTTCCAGGGCCCCCACATGTCCCCCCTTCCAGGGCCTCTCCCTCTTGATGTGCTCCACTCTTGTGCATCCATCCACCATGAACCCTTGCCAGAGCATAAAGGATACTGGTGCCATGCCCTTGGAGCTCCAGAACTGCGAGCTAAATCAATCTCCTCTTTATAAAGGACTTAGCCTCAGATATTTTTCTACAGTAGCAGAAAATGGACAGAAACAATGAATGAGTCATAAAGAGTAAGCTGAGGCTAGAGAATCCTGGAGGAAGATTCCAGAAGAGTAGTTTCATGTTATCTATGCTGGACAGGTCATTCAACAGAGTACAGCCCATGGCAGGGGAACAGAGTGTGGGCCTTGGGACAGCCCCCACCCTGGGTTTATGACTTGGAGTGAGCTACATGATTTGTAAGGTGCTGATCATAATGGTCTTTACCTCAGTGACTTGGTATGCTGTAGGAGATAATGACCAGGATTGTGTATTTACAGCCTTAGGCACAGTGTGGCCAACAGCATGAGGCCACCACAAAGCTCTCTGATATTCCTATTGGTAGTACTAAGACAGGAAACCAACTGTAAAGTGCTACCTGAATGTAATTTTGGTGTTAGCTTGCACAGGTCAGAAAACGTTAGAAGGTACAGTCTTCACCCAGAGGCTTCTAAGAAAGAACAGGAGTGGATGTAGAAAAGGAACCAGAAATGGAAAATGCTCAAGCTGGAGCCTCAGAAAAACCAGACACAATACTGGACCCTCAAGAAGAAACACATGAAGGTGACCCCAATGGTAAGGAGGCAGGGAGGAAGGTACCTTATGGGCCCACTCTCCTGGGAAGTAGGTGGCAGTATTATGTGTATAAATAATGCATCTGATCATACCCTGCTTAGCCTTCTGTTGGACGAAGTTATTTAAATTAACACATTGTTCATCAGACTTCATTTGTGATCTCTAAGAATGACATCACTCTGTCCTGGAGTAGATACGTTTTGTTTCTTTTGCATTTTTATTTTATTTATTTACTTTTTTGTTCAGAAAGCCCATTACAGGTGCCATCCAGGAATGTGCCTCTTCTAGTCCCAGAGTTCTTGGTTACAGCTCAGGCCATGGAGGAGATGGCCTTTGTCCCTGTGGTGAGCAACACACTCCACATGTCCACAGAAGAGTCTGGGTTCCTACAGAAGAACAGTGATATCCTCAGGATCCCAGAAAACAGTATGCATCACATAAAAGGCAACATCTCTGGATCCTCAGCTGAAACCACACAGCCCACACATAACAACACCCCTGAGGCCTTGGCAAAAACCACCCAGCCCAAACAGGGGAGTATCCGCAAGTTCTCAGAGAAAATCATCCAGTTCAAAGAAGACAACATCCCAACAACCTCAGAGGTAACAACTCAGCCTGAAGAGAGTGACATCCCCAAGTCCTCAGAGAAACCCTACCAGTTCAGCCCAGGGAATATCCGCAAGGCCCCAGAGAAACACTACCAGTTCAGCCCAGGGAGCATCCCCAAGGCCTCAGAGAAACACTACCAGTTCAGCCCAGGGAGCAGCCACAAGGTCTCAGAGAAACCCTACCAGTCCAGTCCAGGGAACATACCCAAGGCCTCAGAGAAACACTACCAGTTCAACCCAGGGAACATCCCCAAGTCCTCAGAGAAGCACTACCAGTTCAGCCCAGGGAACATCCCCAACGCCTCAGAGAAACACTACCAGTTCAGCCCAGGGAGCAGCCACAAGTCCTCAGAGAAACACTACCAGTTCAGCCCAGGGAGCAGCCACAAGTCCTCAGAGAAACACTACCAGTTCAGCCCAGGGAGCAGCCACAAGTCCTCAGAGAAACACTACCAGTTCAGCCCAGGTAACATCCCCAAGGCCTCAGAGAAACACTACCAATTCAGCCCAGGGAGCAGCCACAAGTCCTCAGAAAAACACTACCAGCTCAACCCAGGGAACATCCTCAAGGCCTCAGAGAAACCAAACCAGCTCAACCCAGAGAACATCCCCAAGTCTTCAGAGAAACCCTATCAGTTCAGCCCAGAGAGCAGCCGCAAGTCTTCAGAGAAACACTACCAGTTCAGCCCAGCGAGCAGCCACAAGTCCTCAGAGAAACACTACCAGCTCACCCCAGAGAACATCCTCAAGGTCTCAGCAAACATCATCCAATCAAAGCACATTAATATCCCCAAGTCCTTGGCAAGAATTACCCAACCCAAACAAGAGAACATTCCCAAGTCTTTAGCAAGTACAGTTCAATCTAGAGAGGGTGACATTTCTAAGTCTTCAGAGGAAACCACCCAGCCCAGGGAGTACGCCATCCCCAAGTCCTCAGAGGAAACCACCCAGCCCAGGGAGGACGCCATCCCCAAGTCCTCAGAGGAAACCACCCAGCCCAGGGAGGATGCCATCCCCAAGTCCTTAGAGGAAACCACCCAGCCCAGGGAGGGCGACATCCCCAAGTCCTCAGAGGAAACCACCCAGCCCAGGGAGGGCGACATCCCCAAGTCCTCAGAGGAAACTACGGAACCCAAGGAAGATGCCAAAAAAGAATTGGTGGAGCTCCCTGAGGAGGATGTGGTAAAGGTGATCACAGGCAAGGAGGACTTCAACGAGGCGCTCAAAGAAGCTGGGGAGAGGCTGGTGGTTGTGGACTTCTCAGCCACGTGGTGTGGGCCCTGCAGAGCCATCCGGCCGCTTTTCCACTTCCTGTCTCTGAAGCACAAGGATGTCACGTTCCTGGAGGTGGATGCTGATGACTGTGAGGAGCTGGTAATAGAATGTGAGATCGTTTGTCTCCCAACCTTTCACTTTTATAAAAAAGAAGAAAAGGTGGGTGAACTTTGTGGTGCCCAACATGAAAAACTCAAAGCAATAATTACAGAATTAAAGTAACCATATATTCTGAGAACATCGCAAATGGTAGGTTATAGCTTGTTTTTTTTTCTTCTTAATTTGCAAAAAAGAACAAGTTTAACAAATTTATGTATATAGGACACAGCTTTTTAAGCTGTGAGCATGAAGCGTGGGCTTTCAGAGCACAAGGCATGAGAGCATGTTGTGACCATGGGCCTGTGGATGGGAGAGGAGAGTTTGGAGACTCCTTGAGTGGAGATTGAAGTCCTCTTCTCTTGCTTATTTTTTCAGTCACCTTTGGAAGTTCTGCTCACTAGATGTTTGGGGCAACAATGGATTTTAGAAAAGTCTTTTGTAGCCATGTATCACTACCAACGAGTGGCGAGCTCTTTGCCATGTGTGTGTATTGACAGGGCTGGGGAACCTCTGAGTAGATTCTTCAGGACATCAGTGGGAGAAGTTGCCCTGTAGCTCACCTCTTCCTCGTGCAGGGAGTGCTGCAGGTGCCCACAGGCCAAGGCGCTGCTCCCAGCCTGCTGAACTACACTTGCAGAGTGTGAGGCAGAGCTCGGCCCTTCAGTGTTCTCAGAGGCTTAAGCCCTGTGATCCTTCATGCCTTGTGACATCAGCACCATGCTGGCAAAGTTCCTGTTTCATTGGTGTGGCAACTGGATTCCTAATTCCTATGCCCAGGGCTCCCTGGGCCCAGAGGACCCGGTGTGGCCCACAGGTGATGGGTTGGTCCAAGGGGTTGTTACTGCTGAGGTCTGGACCTTAAGAACTTGTGGGAAACCAGATGAGTTTGGCTAAGGGCACACATTGGCGACCCCAGGATCTCCGAGGGGCTACCTTGTGTCCTCCGCCTTTCTTATAATTAGGTGCACGCTGTGTTGGTGCTCTCTGCCCTCGTAATGCATTTTAGGTGGCCAGTGCTGTATTGCTAATCCCAGGCCTTGTGTGCACAGCAGGGCTCTAGGATCCATTCATTGCATGGGGCTGAATGCTTATAGCCCCTGAGTGATTATTCCCATTCCCATTGCCCACCTGGGTGCCACTGTGCTGTTTTTCATTGGCTCAGAATGTTGTTTAGAAATATGAATTTGTTGGCAATATTTTAAGAACTACCTTTCCCTTTAAGTCCAAATTTCTAGCTTTTCTTGAAACATGGTAAGCTCTGGCAACCTGAGACTTGCATTACTTTAAGAGACAAATCTCCTCTTGGGGGCTGAGTGGCAGCTTCCTCTGTGGGGTGGCCTTGACCCCCAGTCCACCACAGAGCCTGGCAGGCTTCATGTGTCCGGTTGATGTCCTCAGCTGCACAGCAATCCCCAGGCTGAGTCTCAGAGTGGGGTTGCTGATGCCTGGTGAGACACAGGCTTCCTTGGCACCATCAGCAGCCGCAGGCAAATATGGCAGGTGGACCCGTGATTCACGCACTGGTCCAGAGCAGGTTTGGAATGACCTCCAGGAAAGGCAAATTAATGATGAGGCTGTTAAACGAGAGGAAATCAGAAGCATACAGTGAGTAACTTGTGGGCTCTGTGGGCCTGGTAATTGTTCTCAGTGAGAGCCAGGCTTTTATTTTGAGCTGCTTGATGGCCGGGAAAAGAAAGAGGACCTCACTAATACCCAGATATGCTTGTCCAAAATAAACAAGCTTTGTAATGTGAAAAAAGTAACCAGGGCCTTAACTTGATCTCAATAAAGTTTCTCATCTGGGACCTTAAATTCGAGACACTGAACATTAGATGTGTTCTGGATGAGACTTGCTTTCCTTTCCTTTCCTATCCTTTCCTTTCCTTCTTTTTTTTCTTCCTTCCTTCTTTTTTCTTCCTCTCTCCTCCTTTCTTTCTCCTTCCCTCTTCCTGCAGTTCTAGGTTTGAACCAAGAGCCTTCACACCAAGATGCATCCCCAGTTCTTTTCTTTTCTTTTTTTTTTAATTGTAAGATAGGGTCACTAAATTGCCTGCATTGGTATTTTTTTTAAAATTTTTATTTAAAGAAAGACTACACAAACAGAAAATGGGTAGAAATAATACATACATTCAAAGAAAAAATAAACAGTAAGAAATCACTAGTTGATGTTTACAGTTTGTCCTCTTACAAATAGTTGTTCAAGATACTAAAGTGGAGCATATAACGTGGGGATTCAAACAATGAGACTGCAAACAGTTCTGCTCAGCTATCCAACAAAAACTTAGTAACATGGTTGTCAATCCTATACATTTAAACATACATGCAGTTTTCCATATCTTCATTTATGTTGAGATTAAACAAATTAAAGCAGGCTAAAATCATTCTGAACAAAGAATAACAGTATTACTGGATTTCACATCATGACACTCTGGGATCATCTGGGTACTGTATGTCTTTTTAAAAAAAATTTATTTAAAGAAAGACTAAACAAAACAGAAAACAGGTAGAAATAATACATACTTTCAAAGAAAAAATAAACAATAAGAAATCACTAGTTGATGTTTACAGACTGTCCTCTTACAAATAGTTATTCAGGGTACTAAAGTGGAGCATATAAAGTGGGGATTCAAACAGTGAGACTGCAACCAGTTCTGTTCAACTATCCAACAAAAACTCAGAAATATGGTTATCAATCCTATACACCACATACATGAAGTTATCCATATCTTCAATTATGTTGAGACTGAACAAACTAAGCAGGCTAATATCACTCTGAACAAAGACTAATACTATTGCTGGGTGTCACATTGTGACACTCCCGTATCAGCACTGGGTATTTTAGTGTCTCTTTTTCTTCAAAGTATTTGTTCATTTCATCATGTGTCATAAGATCAGTTCTCATAAACTGTTTATAGGTTCTGCACATGCATGAGTCTTAACATGAATTTCTATCCTTTCTATATTAGAGGGAAGAAACAAAACAAAGCAAGACAAAACAAAACATAGTCCTATAAACATAAGAAATGAAAAAGACATATAAGACCATTTTACAAAGGGTTCTACCATAGTTCCTGTGTTGTCTCTTGTTATCTCCAATGGATATGGCTATATCATCAGACACAGTATAATTGAATAGATCAGTACATAACAGTATTAATGAAAACACAACTTTGTAGATAGTATAAAACTTCAAAAACAGGCAGTAATCAAACCAGAATGTGTATCATAGTGAGTCTTGTCATCTTCAGTGTAGTTGCCTATACTCTCAGACTTGATACTATCAATCATATCAGTTTTGAATAAAATCTGTGGATATCAAACAGCAATCAAACAAACCAGATTGAACTAAGATCAGTCATCATAAAATAGTGGAAGTCATACAGGGCTCCAGGAAATTAAAGATGATTACTGTGCTATATGCTGGTATTTTGGGGATAGCTGTCTGTGCCCTCAAATCTAATGTAAGTAGACAAACTGGGACAGAATAAAATCTAAGCAGAGTGGTGCAAGTAATGTGGGTTTTAAATCCTGATACACTATTAACAATATCTTCTGCCATATTTTTTAAGACTCTGTCTCCCCTTTTACTTCCCCAGGATACGCTGTACATTTTTGGGTCTCACCAAGACCCTTGGTTTTAAATCGGGTGGTGGTGGTGGGGGGGGTGCAACGTGCTGTTTACCTAAGTGGTTCTGAACCTTCTGTCTCCTGGACTTGATCTCCAATTGTATTCCTTTATCTATTAAAGCCTGTCTTTCCAACCTATACACATATACTGTTCTAATTGCCCCTATTACTCTCTGGTTCTCTGTCACATAGAGCATTGTTTTCTCATATTTGATTTTCAGTCCATGTACTCTTTTTCATGTTAATTATATTTCCTAAAAATAGCATCTTGGTGGACCCTACCTCCTGATCTATTCCACGTGTGGTTCTTTTTTTATTTTTAATTATTTATTTTTTATCAGTACCAGGGATCGAACTCATGACTGCCTGCTTGCATGGCAGGTGCTTATGCCACTGAGCTAAATCCCCAGCCCTGATTCTTTTTTCAAATTTAGTGTATCAAGGCCATCTATATTAGAGATTATAACCAACCTTCTCTGCCTCATTTCTGTTATGCTGTTTTTTTTGCCATCAATTGTCTGCTTATCTTCTTCATTCTGTTTTCTGCTCCATTCATTGAGGCCTCTCTGCCACTGTTCCTGGAATCCTGGTACTTTTCTCTTTCTCTAGAATGCCCTGCAGTATTCTCTGGAGAGTTGGATTGGTGCTTGCGAATTTCCCAAGTTCCTCTTTGTCTTGGAAGCATCTTGTTTCTCCATTAATTTCTAGAGACAGATTTTCATGGCATATCAATCTGGGATGGAGGTTATTTTCTTTTAGGGCTTGGAATATTTCACTCCATTCCAGGCTCTTCTTGACTTGATGGTTTGTGTCGAGAAGTCTGCCATGATTCTGATGGGCCTTCCTTTATAGGTGACCTGTTTCTTGTCTCTAACAGCTTTCAATATTGTGTTCTTATATTGAATTTCTGGGATCTTGATTATTATATGCCTGGGTGTGGCTCTGTTTTGGTTGTAGGTGGCTGGAGTTCTGTATGCCTCAAAAATCAGAATATCATTTTCTTTTCCTATGTTTGGGAAGTTTTACTTAATTATTTCTGAGAATAGCTTTTGTAAGTTCCTTTGTACCCCTTCTTCTTCATTTACATTCTTTATTCTTAAGTTATAGATCCTCTTGTCATCTTCTAGCCTTTGTATTGTTACTGCTTATTTCCTTGTTATTTTTTAAAATGTTTTCCCTTTCATAATCCCACATTGCAAAACTGTCCTCCAGTTTGGATCATCTATCCTTAGTTTTTTTCAAACAGTTTTGCCATCTTTCCATACAGTTTTAAATTTCCTGGTAATCTCTTTGAATCTGCTTCATGTTTTCTATATTTTTTTATATTCTTCATCAAATGGTTCTCTCCTTTGTTTGAGTTCCTCCCTTCTTCCATCTGGATCTTCTGGAAGGGTGCTTAGCATCTTTTATTAATCTTATATCTTGCTTTACTTGGCTAAATATTTCCCTTTTGAACTCATGAGGTCCTGAAGATATCTCTTTATGTCCACTGGTGACGTGTCTGATATTGCATGTTTGCTAACCTAATTCTCCTTTGTATTTACCTGTCCCAGGTCAGTGTTCTCAGGATTGGGACCTGGGGACTTTCTGTTGTTGCTTCCTCTTCCTATCTTTTTTGTTTCTTCCAGGAGGCCTCAGTTTCTTTCTTTGTTGGTTACAATTCTTCTGAAGCACACTGGCTAGGTGACCCTTCCCACTGCAGTGTGCTAGTGAGTTGTAAACAGGGTCAGCATATGA